TTCTTGAAGATTGATTGGCGGTTCTCGCGAAATTGAAAATACTGCATTCTGGGATGTACCTCATCTATCTTTCAACTGGTAGAAAAAGTAAAAACTGTCATTTGTACATCTCTTCACGTGAAATCCTGTGGCGTAGTCAGATTTTTGATCGAGCTGTCATTATTTAGATATAATCCAAAGTTATGTTTTTTAATAGAACACTGTGTGTATTTTTTGATATTTGAAACATTAATGCTTTACGCTTTTCAAAAATTAATAACACCTATACAATATGAGTATTATCTCTCGGTATTTCTATAAATTCGAGTTCTCTTGTAGGGCTAGTTCAGTCGGTAGAGCATCAGACTCTTACTCAATTTTTGGCAACTTCAAAAAGAAATGTTTCGCTAAAAATGAGCAGGTCCAATGGCGAGGAGGACATATTCATGTTTTTGTGGCAGATCAGGAGAAGAAGAAGACAACGAAGTTTATGGGTGCATCCGTACATTGCACGAAATTTTCACACTCGACTTTTTGTTACTGCAAGTGAAATGCAAGATAGTGACACAAAATTTCTGGCATTTTATAGAATGTCGAAGGAATCATATATTGATTTAGTGGAAACTCTTGCTCCAGCCATAAATTATATGGATTCAAATATGAGGAAATGTGTCAGCGCAGAAGAACACATACTAATAACATTGATGTAAGATTCATATATTTCAAAAAATCAAACAGTTCCTAAAGTTGAGAGTATAAATTGAAAACATAAGATTATATGTTCTAGTTACTGAAAGTAAAGAACTAAGGTAGGTAACACAAATATTCACAATGATTGAAAAATTATTGAACAACTTTCTCCATTGAGACGCAAGATTCACTCGATCAAACTGCTTCCTTGGTAATCGCGTGAGACTGAAAACGAGGAGATCTTAAATCGTACGTTTCTAGACGACCACTAAACGACCCGTGTGCGGGATCCAGAATCCAGATGCTTTGCTTAGGAAGTCGAGTAGAGGGGAGACCGTCGTACGATTCGAATCGCGTCGCCCATGTCGCCGATCGACCAGTGTGCGTAGGGCCTTAATTCTCAGGGTCGTGAGTTCGGGCCTTACGTTGGGCGCCATTTATTACGTATTTTTGGAGGGTATGATATTATGTATGTATAAGTCCTTCAAATGGGATCAATCTTGGCACCACTACTTCATATCGACGATCTATTGAAAGCAACCACTTGCCCTATCCACAGCTCTGCAGACGGTAGTTCTCTCCATACTGCGTTCTCTTCTAGGATTCCCATTTCTTATCAGGAAGCTAAGAACTTTTGACGGAGGCAGGCCAACGCTGTCAATGAAGATCTTGTGGGAATTACAGCCTGGGGAACCAACAACCTAGTTGAATTCAACGCCACCAAAACGCAAGTCTGTATTTTCTTTAGAAAGGCGGAACTCAGAATGCCTGATAACAATTTCTGAATCCACCTTCTCACCAAGAACATTATATCTATGCTCGGTATTACCATCAGCAATACTCTCTCATGGGAAAATCATGTTCGATCCATCGCAAAACCTGCTTCACAAAAACTCGTTTTTTTGTTCCACAACAGCTTCTCATGAACTACAAAGCACTGATACTGCCAGGTTTGGAATACTGTTCTCATGTATGGCATCCAGCACCCAATCATACGCTGATGCTCTTAGATTCCATCCAGAGAAGAGTCATTCGCCTGGTGGATGATGTCACTACACTCACCAACTCTTTGACCCCGTAGAAAAGTCGGCGATTTTCCACTTTTCTATGCATACTTCCACTGCACATGTTCCTCAGAAATCTTTAAATTCCAACACCTACCTCCCTCCCTGTCCTCCCTAGGATCGCACGATGTTCCACGAACATTATAGGAATTTCCTTTCGTGCGGTCCAAGAGATGGAAAAGGCACAGCTATCTACTCCAATGTTGGCAATGCATTGATATATTTATTATTTCTTCAGTACCTATATATATTAGGTTTATGTTCCTAAGTAAATTAAATATAATTTATCGAATTAATTCAGATTGAAGAAATATGAAGATACATGACTCATTATTTCATCATCGAAAAATGTAATTGCAATTTTATTTACTCCTATCATATAAGTATAATGGTATATCCAGGTTGTGTATCAAAAATTAATTAACGTAAGAAAATGTATGACAAAACATTGGCTTCATGAAATATGGTGTTAATCATAACCCGTTCACAAGTGGGATTTTGTATGCCTGTCTTCCTCCTCTTATCCCATCACATTCTATGATATTGAAATATATTCCATGAAATTTGATTATCAAAGCTTCAGTATTCAAAAATGGTTTTTGGCATTTTCTGGATTTTGGAATTGAGTAGGCGTATATGACTACCTAGAGATAATATTTTCGTGATGAATTTTTTTCAAAATTGTTGTGCATGGACGCCTATGTGTTGCGTGTCTTTGCCTTTGCGGTCTAATTCAAAAATATCTGTCTTGATATTTATGACAATATTCATTTCTTCTAAATCTGCAATTTATATTAGATTCGTGCCTTGTGGTGTAATGCTCCGGTATATTTAGCATAAAGACCCATAATAACTGGCGGAAGCCTGTACTCTGTACTCTCTTATATAGGGTGTCCCAAAAAACTTCTGAGATATAGTCGGCATACATACAGGTTGTTTATCGAATTATTACTAATTGGAAATATTTCAACTACAGAATCCTGAACTCAAAATATGATGATTCAATCCAAATCACATAGATAAAATGCGTCTAACTGTCTGTTTTATTTGAAAATTTAAAAATCATTCGACGTATTATTGTCATATTTGGTGGCGAGTGTAGGTACTATATATATATGCACCTACTCAATTTTTAATAAAATGTATTATTCTTTAAGATATATTTCAGGTAAAACATGAAGCTCCACAATTATTTTGATTTCAATGTGTATCTATTCATTATGTCGGTGTTTTATTGGGTCATTTTTATTTATCTGAACTCCTGATTGCGGAATACAAAATATGAGGATACGCCATTATTGATCTGGAGGTTCAGTGTCTCGACATTTCGTAGTTTTAACTTCTTTGAGGTGTTTTTGTGCTCGCTGGGATGGCGCTTTTATTGCAAAAGTAACTAGAGTGGTGGTATCATCGCCCTTATGCGACATTTACATCAAAACTCTTCAATACCACCATCCTTCACATGCCAAGTTATTCGACAAAATCAGAGAGGAATAGATAGCCATTTTGGAATATTCATTACGAATTACGAGGTACCACGCAGGATATACAGGGTGAGTCATAACTATTGGGACATAGGCTAAGGACGGATTGTTTGGACCAAAATATGGCGATTGGGTCAAACATGCCTTAATGAAATATTTGCTGTGAAAAGAGATACAGGGCGTTGAAGTTGATTTTTTTCGTTTTTTGTCGGTTTTTTGCTAATAATTTCACTGAATATGAAATATATTTGAAAAAGTTTTGTGATTTGATTGGTTTCTGTCTAGATATAAGAGATATTACAATTCATATCTTCTGGCGGCATCCCGCATTTATTCATTCATAAAATGATTGTGACGAGGCATCTCAATCGAAAAATTTTTGACTATATAAACTCGCACCAAAATTCATTCTCTGGCAAGAAATGCCATTACCAGCAGCATTATCTGACAGTTCAAAGCGCACACTCTTCATGAATGAAATAATATTGTAATTAACTTCTGAGACTCTGAACTGTTCAATAGCGTTTTTCTCGAAAACGGATGAAAATATCGTGTTCAAACAAGAGTACCAATATTACGTAGAAATAATGTTTTGGTCATATTTTTTAATCAAAATCACTCAAAAGTTTCGTCAAGAAAAGTAACCAGGCGATTTCATCATCAGGAATCATTCACGTGGCGCCCCCTGTATCAAAATGTAGTAGTATTTATGCCTCTGTGCCAATTTTGATAACAATTGATGAATATACAGTGAAATTATTGGCAAAACGCGAAAATAAAAAGTAAACTTCAACGCCCTGTATCTTTTTTCACAGCAATATTCTATAGAGGCATATTTAGTCCTATCGCCATATTTTGGTCCAAACAATCCGTCCTTAGCCTATATGTCCCAATAGTTATGACTCACCCTGTATATATGGTGCCATCAACGAAAAATGAAATTACAAATATTTTCATTATTTTCAATTGAGAAAAGAGACTGCATCAGGTACTGATGGTTGCCCGATAATGATGGTAACATCTCGTTAGGCACGATAAATTTCGATTCACCCACATTTCGATTCGCCCATATTTCGATTCACCCACACGTTTCTTTACGCCGACATTTTGATTCATCCTCATCGAGTCCTTAACAGACACGAACGATGCCTTACTGTTAAGCTGTTGAAGAATATAGTTTCTAGGAAGAATATTGATTTTGGCCGACTCACGTCGTTAGATCGTTCATTAGAAAAAGCAGTCTTCTTACTTATACAGAAAGGACATTTTCATTCATTTTGATACGTGTTCGGAATTCAGAACGGCATAGGTAAGGGAATGGTGTAATCTCAGGTGTATCTAAGACACTTGTACCAGCCATTGTGGCTATCGCAGGCTGTGGGTTCAACTTATTTAATGTGGGCCTATTAAAATGTAACAGAATCAAAATGTGGGTGAATCGATCGGAATTTGGGCCAACAAATGGCATTCATACAGATTTGGTAGCGTTTGAATGTTATTACTTGTTGATGATCATTACGTAAAGATATTTGGATTTAAATAAAGTTGAAATTTGCCAAGAAAGTTGGTTCTTCACTACTTTTATACTCTTTTATGGAGTGCGCCATCAATATCAGTCCATTATTATCACTGGCTTAAACACTTGAAAGCTATTGGCGCTTTTTTTGTCACGCATGTCACGCGCTATTTGTTCCGTACTACGCTCGCTAATCGCTATTTTGTCTAGCGTGTTTGATAACAGAGCCCATGCTAGGTGCACTATCTAGAAAAAAGGAAGAGGAACATGCATCCCAAGAAAAAGAAGAAGAGGAGAACTATCTACATTCTACATTCGAAAGTTAGGTTATGGTTGGGAGGATTATGTGAATTTCATTATTTTATTTCTTCTGGAACAGATAGGAATAGGAACATGTTTTTAACCAACGTTTTGTTGAAAAAAGCCAAAAGCAAGTAATATCATTCAGGGAATTCATATTAATGACATAGTAATTGAATGGGTATTTTTTTCAGGGAAATAATGGTCCAACTGCAAAGTGTTGTCAGTGGCCATACATTCAACAAAATAAGAGAGCGATTGGGGGACAAACTAGAAGTTATCAGATTTGATCCTTGGAGTGAGTATATTCATAATATGTATGGGATGTGAGGTGTCCAGATATCTTTTCTATTTGAGCAAATACTAAGGTGCGATCAATTCATTGTTGAATTTCATTTTCTATCTTTAATTTTCTGGAAACACTGCCCTTCAGGTACAACAGATTTCCAGAATCTGATTACTTGCAATATTATTTAAAGTGTAAGTGTCTATTTAGTCAACTTTGTCTTCGTCTCAAGTCTGTTTAAGGTCAGTATAACAATTGGTTCCTGGACTTACCTTCCATCCATACATCATTATGAATACCATTTGAAATCAGTGCTATAGTAAAATCATGTTGTTTTTTCAGTTCAAATGCAATGTTTGTATAAAGAAAAGAAGAAAGTAAGGAGTATGTAAATTTCACAGAGGTCCACTTGTATATTATAATAGTTAGAGATTTTTAAGAAGAATGAACATTATAAAATTAAATGAAACACATTTAGAAATATGTTTTATTCCATGGTCACCTTTATTTCTCACAATGATGCAGTGGAGTAAGTGAATGAGGTGAATTAATGCACAACTTGAAATTTAAGAAGTTTTCTCAAAATTGCCACTCCTGAATCATTAGATCATTAATTTCAAATTAGGAGTATGTGCATGAATTCACCTTAACAGCAGATCACAAAATGAAAAATGTCATAAAAACTAATATCCATAATCCAAACACATTTTTTGTAAACTAAAAATAATAAAAATTTAGTACAAGAAAAGTAGTGAAAAGTGAATTAACATGCATGAGATTTCTTATTCTTTATATTCCAGATAATAGTTGAACCATTGTCAATTCAAATGGAAACCTATTAGGCAAGGACTCTTGCCTACTAACTACCTAACTAGGTTGTCATTCAGAATAACAATGGTTGAACAGTTTTTTGAGGGAATATTTGGTAGAAATTTTTACAAAGAAAATTTTTAAAAATGCCACAAGACTTTTGGCACAGTTGGTGATTTTTTCAAAAAGAAAATTTTTTTCACATTTATAATATACATAATCATTAGTACTCTTTACAGTACGGATATAAAATAAAACAATATATGCATCCGACATCAAACAACAAGGAATAAAAACTAACCAATTTATTGATTTATGTAAAAACAACAGTCAACAAATAAAATATAAATTATGTCACACAAACAGAATTCTTATAGTAATAAGAAAACATGTTTAGTTGATCACTCATGAGACCAACCTCTTTAATTGTTATTGGATTATTGGCAAATATGATTGAACACTATTAAATTATATTCTATCCGAGATGGTAAATATAAAATAATTGCCTTCAGAATGATTCATGTTCCAACTTAATCCAATTTCATAAATAATTGTGATAGTTAATGCCCTACCTACCAGTAAATACAATAGTAATGTTGGCCAACTTAGAGTATATTTACATTTTGCCAAACCAATAATGAGAATATACAGTTCTACAATCAAATATTTCGTGATTCTGTTATAGACTGTTGGCCCGCGACACAGGGTTTATCGATGTTCTAAGTCGGTATGCCATTTTAAGGGACCCACTCACTTAGTCCAAGTTAACAGGGAGAAGTGCCTCGGAGAGTCGCAACCCAGTCCTTGCCCCGGCCCTGACCTCAACTTTCGGTTGAAAAAAAAATCAAAATTTTCTTTAAGAAGAAACTCGGCAATGAAGTGCAATGATCTTATCTCACGAAAATTGGGGCGCTTGCCGGTTTGCATACGCCTAGGTCACTCCCCAAGGGCGGCATACGAACCGGAAGTGGCAATTTTTCAGTGTTATAGTCGATGATCTAAGAATGTATGCCCTTTGGCGAAACAATGAATTGGGACCCATTAATCAATTTCCCGTCATTTGCATACGATTCCGGAGAGGGGAGCTGGACTTATTCCAAAATGTTCAAATTTTGACCATGGTTAGTGGACCACACAGTATATATGAGATGATTGTCTGCATACAATTTGCACATTCCGTACAGGGTGGTTCACCATAAATATCTACTCCTATTGTAACATAGTTGTTTCTGAACCGATATTAAAATTTCAAAAACCAATTAAAATGATTTTCCTAAGAGATTTTTCATTGTTATTAAAAAATTCACAGGCTGTTCATAACAAATGAACTATGGGGTAGTTGTTGATTTTTTTTCACTAGAACACTATATTTTATTTCACTATCGAGTTGAGATTATCATGACGAATACAGCTCTACAGCATCTAGCGATATCAGTTAATTACACGCAGCACTCTTATAGCGATCATGCGCCAAATTGTCAAATTGTGCCAGAAATATGAATCCCGGGTTTGAAGTATTTTCTTTCTTTTTGCTGAAACAATTTTCATATCTGAACAATGATTTGCTGCGTCAGCCGGGTAGAGTGTAGCACGTAATGATTTAGGCATTCAATAATGTTTTTCTTTTTTATCGGAGGTCCGATATTTAAATATCTCAAAAATCATTTACTTGTGTACAATGCATATTACAGATTTATTCAATTGGTACCTTGGTGAAGCCCTTCCAGCAGAGGTTGGTGACATCATAATCTCTGAGACTTCAACTGAGAAAGTATCAGGTATATCTCTCGATCATGCCAAGATTTTTCAATAATTATATCCATTCAAAATAATATTCTTACTAACAGGTACTGATGACAACTCTGAAGAATCATCTTCAGACAGCGAGAGCGAAGATGACTCTGAAGATAATGATAGAGAGGACGACGTATAATTTTTCCTCTGAAATATAATGTTGTTTTCATTCAATATAATTTCATTTTCAAATAATTTTTTTTATGTGAAAAACAAAAATGTAGATTAAAGTTCAGGATACAGACCCCACACTATACCCAAAACATTCAACAAATTAAATGTACATTCTGTATATATTCTTTAGGAGCCAGTATTATGATAAGCAGGGAAGAATTCCAATTCGATTTGTTGTGAGTTTCGATCATGAGCAATAATCGACCACTCTGCTTCTCCCTGTACGTTCCCTCTTGATCATCCTGCGAGTATTTTGTCGTCAATTTTTTTTATCGTCTTTTCAAAGCCCTGTTTTTCAAATTTAAATCACACAAAAAAATTTCTTGGTACTAAACCTCCCACACATGTAATTTTGTAGAGCTGTAAATTTCTGATGAACAAATACAAATATATTTTCAACTTGCGTCTTCGAATACCCCCATCACTCCCAGGAATTTATCTTTGACCCGGTTCCATGTGAAGTGAGATTATGAGACTTCCAGATTATCTAGTTCGCTTTCGGTGCACCTCTGGCATGCAGTGCGGGACGCCGCGCCGGACCGAGGCACGCGCGGGTTTGCCCGATTATTACAACATATGCTCACATTGAATTCGTATGCAAATAGCGTCCAGTTATACAGAATATCCTAGTTTATCGCTCTTGAGATGTGCATACGAACTTGAATGATCGATTATTTGAAAGATGTCTAGTCAATTGATGTTTGAATAAGTCGAGCTCCCCTCTCCGGAATCGTATGCCAATGTCGGGAAACTGATTAGTGGGTCCGAATTCATTGTTTCGCCAAAGGGCATACATTCTTAGATCATCGACTATAACACTAAAAAATTGCCACTTCCGGTTCGTATGCCGCCCTTGAGGAGTGACCTAGGCGTATGCCAACCGGCAAGCGCCCCAATTTTCGTGAGATAAGATCATTGCACTTCATTGCCGAGCTTCTTCTTAAACAAAATTTTGAACTTTTTTCTAACCGAAAGGTGAGGTCAGGGCCGGGGCAAGGACTGGGTTGCGACTCTCCGAGGCACTCCTTCCTGTTAACTTGGACTAAGTGAGTGGGTCCCTTAAATGGCATACCGACTTAGAACATCGATAAGCCCTGTGTCGCGGGCCAACAGTCTATTAGATCACATTACCGATAAATCTTCAATAATTATTGATATCAAAACTAGCAGCATGAGCCTCATTTTTTACAGATCCACAATCAACTGAGTTTTGCGTTTTGCTTTGTGATAATTGGGACATGGAATACTTTTGAATACTTCTGAAGAGTATAGATTCAAAATTGGGCCGTTACTCGATGGGAATCCATAGAAAATGTAAAAAACTTCACATACAATAAGACTTCCACAAAATTATTATAGTTATTCATGTATCAAGGGAATTATAATAAGGGCCTTGGTTTTGAACTGCTTGGCATCATGTTAGGCTGAATTCGTGGAGAAGATGTACAGGGTGATTCACTTATTTTTGAACCGATTTAAAAAGTTGAAAAAACATCTAAAATGATGCATCAGAAAATACAGGGTGCTCGGAACAAACGATCTACAGAGTACTACTTGATTTTTCCGAATGGAACACCCTGTATTTCATTGTATTTTTAGATTCTCCCTGAAGAGCTTATTTCATCAAAGTATCACACTTGGGGTCTAGAATGATTAGAGATATAGAGTGTTCAAAATCGAGATTTTTCAACTTTGGGATTTTTTTGTGTCGAAACTATTCATTATCGGTCAAAACGGCTCACATGCCCCTATTCCGACTTTTGATTCACTATTTACTGACATTAAATCGGAACAGATACAGGGTGCTTCAAGTATCAGAATTCTGATCACCCTGTATCTGTTCAAATTAAATATCAGTAATTAGTAAATCAAAAGTTGAGATAGGGACATGTGAGCCGTTTTGGACGATGATGAATAGTTTCGACACAAACAAATCCTAAAGTTGAAAAATCTCGATTTTGAACACTCTATATTTCTGTAATAATTTCCGATAGACCCAAAGTGTGATGTAGGGAAGAAACTAGTCTTGATTACCAAAACCACATCTCAATGATTATACTTTCATCTAAATGAAATAAATACGAAATGCTCAGTTGAAACTGGAACCACAAAATCATGATTTAAATAAGATATTTCCTAACCTTAATTTTACTCACCCGTTCATAATAATTATTGATCGTACAGTGTGTCTACGGATGGACGAATAAATAGATGTAAATTAGATTTTTAGGACTAGGAATTATGTACAAGGGAGTATAATAAACAAATACTGAAATTATATTGAGAAGTGAAATCATACAACCAATATCACTGAAATACGTGTTCTATTGGGGCTTCAATTATTATATACACTATGAATACTTCATTTGGAGCAAGTTTCTTGGCAGATTTGATATGGTCTGATATTTTGTTCCTCTATCACCAATATCAAGGATTTTTCTCACAAACAAAGACCTAGGACCACAATATTCTCCTCAGAACAAGTTACACCCCTCTTCAATGGGGCCGTTTTATACAGTAGTGTCCACTGATATTTTTTGCCAATCTGAGCGATCTTTTCAAATTCACTTCTATAAAAATATTTCACACACCAATCCACGCGTGCATCCGTGAACACCCTGTACATTCATAAAATCAATATCCAATAAATATTACGCTACTGACAAGATTAATAATTACACCACGCATTTTTACTTGAAAAACAAGTTCCGACCACTCGATACACAATCCTTCGAGCCGAATTCACTACGAAATTTTTGAGAAAAACCCCTGCAACATTCTGACAGTCGATGTGTCGAGCAGGCACAGATCGAAATCATGAATAAGTTCTCGAATTATTTGGAATCCTATATAATCTTTGGGGATTCAGTGAAATTTTTTGTCAAATTCTTGTAAGTTCGTCGGTATTCCGGTAACCCAGAAGAATTTACTCGAAAATTTCTGGACATTCTTGAAATTAATTCAAGCTTGGCAACAAAAACTGATCTTAGGCTGATTCATTTCATTCTATGGGTTTCTAAAATTTTTTTGTGGAACTTCTTCAAATTCATTGGGTTTTTTGGAACCACGTCGAATTCCTTTGCAATTCTAGTCAGTAAATGGCGGGTATATTGATTTTATTCGTTTAGATACCTTGGAAGTTCTCGAAATTCTTTGGAAGTTGTTAGAATTCTTTGGGTCTTCTATATTATTCGAAATTTCCTAAAATTTCATGGAACTCTTGGGAATTCTTCGTGATATTTTATTGGTAGACATGAAAAAATTGACCCAGCTTGGTGAACTCCAATATTTGAAGTTCCTTCAAAATTCGAATACTTGGTTTTGAAAAAAGCGTCCCAATTAATTTTATTCTTTGGGTTTTCTTGTGATTATTCATGATTTCTTGACAATATCAATAATTACACCACGCATTCTTTTTTCTTAAAAAAAAGTTCCGACCACTCGAACACACAATCCTTCGAGCCGAATTCACTACGAAATTTTCGAGAAAAACTCCTGCAACTGTCTGACAGTCGATGTGTCGAGCAGGCACAGATCGAAATCATGAATAAGTTCTCGAATTATTTGGAATCCTACATAATCTTTGGGGATTCAGTGAATTTTTTTGTCAAATTCTTGTGAGTTTGTCGGTATTCTGGTAACCCTGAAGAATTTACTCGAAAATTTCTGGACGTTCTTGAAATTAATTCAAGCTTGGCAACAAAAACTGATCTTAGGCTGATTCATTTCATTCTATGGGTTTCTAAAATTTTTTTGTGGAACTTCTTCAAATCCATTGGGTTTTTTGGAACCACGTCGAATTCCTTTGCAATTCTAGTCAGTAAATGGCGGGTATATTTATTTTATTCGTTTAGATACCTTGGAAGTTCTCGAAATTCTTTGGAAGTTGTTAGAATTCTTTGGGTCTTCTATATTATTTGAATCTTTGAAGTTCCTTCAAAATTTGAATTCTTTTTGTGAAAAAGCCGCCTCAATTAATTTTATTCTTTGGGTTTTCATGTGATTATTCATGATTTCTTGACAAGATCAATAATTACACCACGCATTTTTTTTTCTTAAAAAAAAAGTTCCGACCACTCGAACACACAATCCTTCGAGCCGAATTCACTACGAAATTTTCGAGAAAAACTCCTGCAACTGTCTGACAGTCGATGTGTCGAGCAGGCACAGATCGAAATCAAAAGTATGGGCGGACACCTCGTATTGACCGGTCTCGGCTATCAGCTGCACGACCTTCTGCAGATCGGCGTTGTCCTTCAGACTCATTATCTTGTGTTGCAGATCACGAAGCATGTCCATGTCGCACTACACGGAAAATATGGAAGTCATATTATTCAAACAAGACAAAAAAATCTGAGTTCATTGGTAAATTCAAGCATGATGTGAGCCGCTTTCCAGTTGGAAATTTATTACCCCTGTAATGAACTGGTACTAACCTACACTTGAACTGAACCAGGATGTTGTAATTGGAACATAATTTTTTTCCGAGTATTTTTAGTGACATTTCATTGACGGATTTGGCTCGAAATTTGGATTTGAATTTTTGATTGTAGTATTTTTATGATGGAAAAATTTGTGGATTATATGATTTTGATAGCTGTAATGACTCATAACCACACTCAATAATCCACAGCTAAAGTGGATATTACGATAAAAACAAAAATAAATCGAATCAAAAATATCAAGGAAGATACTGTATTGTCGTTGTGCTTTAAGGTAGTCCTTCGCTGGTCCTCCTGGTCCAAATTTATTCTATATACAGTACTCCGTTTTCGGGATCATCTAGGTATTTTCCTTTACATTTTTTTTATAATAATAATAGTAATAATAATAATAATAATAATTTATTTTCCATGTGACAGGTAATTGAATTGGAATAGTCAATAAATATAAATATATACATATATACAAAACAGGAGATCACATTACAGTCAAAATATATAAAAAAGACAAAACAGAACATTTGACAATAAAATCACTTATTTCGCTAATTAGTGGTGAAATATTCTTTTAATGAATAAAAACATTTTGCCACTAAAAATTCCTTTAGTTTCCTCTTAAAACCAGGCAGTGAAGGACATTCTTTGAGTTCTTTTGGTAGGTTGTTGAAAGCTCGTAGGCCATTTTTATCAGGTGAGTTGAATTCAACAACATTTTTGCTGAATGGTACACGATAGTTATCACGATTACGAGTATTTATTTGATGAACATCATAGTTCTTAATGAATGTTAATTTATTCCTAAAGATATAGAGACATAGCTCAAATATATATAAAGAAGGAAGTGTCAATATCTTTCGAGTGATAAATAAATTTCTACAACTGGTGGTGCTAGATACATTAGCAATACACCTAATTATTTTCTTCTGTGCTATAAACACATCATCTGTCATCACAGACCAACCCCAGAAACAAATACCGTATCTCAGACGACTTTCCACTTGTGCATAATACACCATCTGTAATTGATCATGTGTGAGAACTGTTCGCAAATTTCTCAGTAGGTAGCACTGAGAATGAAGAGTGGAAATCAGGGTTGTGCAATGAATTTTCCAATTTAAGTTTTCATCAATATTCATTCCTAAGAATTTGACATGTGTATCTGTGTTGGATAAGGGCATATCATTAAGGACAAGATTAGGTTTATGGCAAACACGTTGCCTGTTGTGAAACCTCATGTACTGAGTCTTTTCAATATTGAAAAAAAGGGAATTTTCCTTTCATTGTTTTGTATTTGATAAGGTTAAACAGGTACACCAGTTATTAATGATGAAGAGAAGGTAGTTGATTTTATTGCTGTTTTCTACTAACATCTAATAAATAACACTATCGTTTTGAACAAAACCAAAAAAAAACATTTCAAAAGACATACAAAAGACAAACACACACGCGTCTGACACTTTTTTGCTTTGACATATTATACCTGCCCGTTTTTGAGTTTGTTACCCTATTGTAAAAGCTGCTGCTCGAGGGGAAGGGAGTAGGTAGCAAAGATCAGTTCAAGTGCTCCAAGCTCTTTGTAATGGGAATGATGTTCATCAGTTCAAGATCTGCCGGAATAACTCGGCAATTGGAAAGCGGCTCATTTGAATTTATTCCTGGAGAGTTTAGTCTATTTTTTTGGTGTCATTTCTTGGAATGAATTCAATGTTGAAATCTGGAATCTCCTTCGAGTCTAATGGGCTTCTAAGTCAAGCTTGATAACTAAAATGGACCCTGGATTGATTCATTTCATTCTATGGAATTTCCTAAAATTCTTTGTGGATATTCTTTGAATCCATTGTCTTTGGAATTCCTTGATAAATTCGAGCATGTTGTGATAAAAATGTGGGTAAATTGATTATATTCGTTTGAATACCTTGGATTTTCTCGAAATTCTTTGGAAATTCTTGAAAATCTCAGAATGTCCATATCACACTTTACGGAAAATATATAGGTCACATTCAAAGAAACGAAAAAAAAAAAAAGATCTTGAATATTACTTTTTGTAACTGATTGAAATTATTAAAAACTCCTGGGATATATTTGGAGTTTGTTGGAATCAGTAACATTTCTTTGTGATTCTTTAGTGAAATTCAGCTCCATGTGGAAAAACTGACACTGGCGGGTATACTTCAATCTTTGAAATTCCCGAAAAGTCCTTCAAATCTATTGGGATTCTTTGAAATAATTTGAAATTAGTTGAAATTCTCTGCTGAAAAAAAAAGCGTGTTTAATTAATTTAATGCCTTGGATTCAATTGTGATTATTAACTTCTTTACAATTTTCTGTATTTTCCGAATAACTGGAATGTTTTGCAATCCATTGCAATTATTTGCTGGAAACCTTTCAGAATTTCCTTGTATTTTTTGTTATACTTTGAAACTCCTCTGAGTCTATTCTGTCTATTGGGATTCTTTCGAATTCCTTGGAATTCTTTGGAAACTGTATGCTGGATTCTTTGGAAGTCATCTTGATATTCTTGGGAATTTATTGGAATTCTTTGAATTCATATTGACTTTGGAAAATTTGTAATTTATAAGAATATTTCGAAATTGTTTGAAATTCTTCGAATTTCCTTGAAATTATGTGATGAATTTCCACTCAATGAGGGAAAAACTGATCCTGATCAATTTATTCTGGAATTCTAATTTCTTCGGATAATCTGGAATTTGTGCATTTTTTTGTTAATCTTGGAGTTTTTTATTTGTAGGAATGTCATGCATTTATCGGTGAATACAATTTTCATCTGGAAAAAACTGACACTAATCATGAATAATTATTGAAAATGTTCGGAATTATTTGAAATTTTTGGCAAATTCATTTGATCATGTGAAGAAAATTTACCCTGGTTAATTCGATTTAATTTTTGGGTTCTCTTAAAACCATTTGACAGTTGAAATTCTTCAATTCAATTTATCACCTGTAATAATATCTGAGAAAAATGTAATTCCTTCCGTGTTTATGGTAATTATTCACCCTGTACTCACCTCGCTTTTAGGTTGCATCATAAGAACCGTATTTGCGTCTTCCGTACTGGAAACTTTACTTTCATCATCAGAATTATTATTCTCTTTGACGACCTTCTCGGGAGGCTGTTCTGGTTCCATATTGGTTTGATCGCTTTTCCTTTTCCGCTTTTTATCATGATCTTTATCACTTTTTTTGTCCTAAAAATATTATACAAGAATAAATAGTTAGCTGAAAATGTTCAGCTTTTTGCGTCATTTCAATCACAGATTTTGCTTCACCAATCAGAATACGAAACGTAAAAAGCAGAACGTAATAAGTTTGGTTGTGAACGCCGCTTTAAGCTACAAAATGACGTCAAGAAATTCGAATTCGGTTGAAATAGGGTCCCTTGATGGAAATTGACATTAAAGTCATCTTAACAGGGTACGGACAGATCCTCGTCTCCTCTCACTCTAAAGTGTTTGTGAAACAGTTATATAGTTCCATCCTTATTCAATTCTGGGGATAAACACTAGATTTTTGACATTCGTTGTTTTTTAGGTTATATCGAGGTCACTGGCGTATCATACGTAATTTCCATATGGAATTCCTGATTCAATACTCAATGACTATACCAAGATATATATAAACAATCCTCTAGTTTTAGAGTCTACTACTCCAGCATAATCTTTGCGAGGTAGGAATCATATGAATTGTACTGAAAGCTCAATATATTTCAGCAAAAGAGATTGTTCTTAGACTGTAAATCAGGGTTGACTGATTGACTTAATGAATTCTGACTTCAAGCTGAGCAGAAGTTTATCTATGAGCTGAATGAGCTGAGCCTTATGATTGAGAAATGGTGGAAACCTGTGGGTATCTGGAATACTGTATTCATGTCATGTGTGCTAAATATATTTTCGGAAATACAATTCTGAGAAGAATTTATGGAGTGACTAATATGACACTATGTATAATACTTTATCTGGGACGAAAAGTAGGCTCAAGGCTGATGAAAAGTAATACGTAAAATGTGCAGGAAAATAAATGATACAATATACTCTACCCTAATGTTATACATATGATTTTTCCATCTTCCCTGAATAAAAAGTCATTTTCGAATAATTTATTGATGAAAGTAACAGAGAAGTAGGTATACGCAGTATAACTTACAGACACGTCATTTTCACTCTTGCATCCTACATATTTTGTATTTGTGGTAGAGTAATAATTATATAAACTAATGTATCTCGCCATATTGGATCCGTCTTCTTGAATATTCGAATTTTGACGAAACAATCATTATCTCCTACCCCGAAAACCCCCAGATACCAATCTTAAATAGAAGCAGATCATAATTAGGAATTTATTTCGCTCTATATTGGATCCGCCATCTTGAATTTTCCAAGTTTGACGAAACAATCATTATCTCCAACCCCGGAAAACCCCAGATACCTTCCAGTTTTGAATAAAATCGGATCATAATTACAAAACTCGTTCGCCATCTACTCTTCCTCAACAAGTAAATACCCTGTACATACCTATTATTAAAATTTTGAATGATTTTTGTAGCGCCCATGATTATGACGTGACAGCTCAGGGATGCCAGTAGACAAAACTAAAGTCTCTAGATCATTAAAAAAGAATGCAGCTATGATCTGTCCGTACCCTGTTATGGTGACTTTTACGTCAATTTCCATCAAGGGACCCTAGGTTGAAAAATGATGAAACCACGAGGAAAACAAAAACTTCCGTTTTTTTTGTGACCAGCCAATGAATCTGATTCTGATCCATAAAAAAACACAAACCTTCTTCTTTTCCTTCCTCTCCCTCTTCTTCGGCGATTCCTCTTTTTTCTTCGGTTCGGGTTCGGGCTTCTTCGCCGGTTCCATCATCACTGGAGAAGGCAGGGAGGCGGGCGATGGGACTTTGGGGGCTGGAGAGGCTTCTCTACTGCTGATTTTACCCGATTCGTTTGACGAATCGTCATCTCTGAAATGGGTTTGTCAAAAAAGAACATCGGGGATCGGATAATTAACAAACCGCGGTGAGCTCAGTCTGGCAACACTGTTCAAAAGTGCTACCTCCAGCTATTCGTGCTAATATGATATATGGGTTCTGGGTTCAAGAGTAAATTGATGTGTTATCAATGTGAAAGCCAGTGAAAAGTGTATGGAATATTCTAGTGATCGAGTTAAATGTGAAAGGGTGTTTTTTTGTGTTTGTGTGAAAGTCTCATCAAAAATTGTTTTTGAATTGAAGTTATGTTGTATGTTGTCTTATTTTTGCAAGCAAAGTAAGTGATTTCAACCTTTCTTATAAGAAGATGCCAAATAATTGCTGTGTGACAGGGTGTAAGTCAAATTACGCTTCGGAAAAGAAATATATTTCGATTTTTATTGCTAATTAGGAAATATTACCAATACTTAATTGAGAATTTATGAAATACTAAATAACTGATATTTCTGAAGTTCCCAATCATATTTCGACACATGGCAACTGTGCTATCGTCTGCCCCTACTTGCGATATCGTGACGTCAGTTTTTACTCGCGGTAAATTTCTAGCCGTTTGAAAATTAACGTGGCATTATTGATGATTTCAGCACCTTGAAATCGAACGGAAAATTTTGGAAAAATATGAAATCGAAAGGTATTTGAGTGATGATTCTATGCGAGGGGCAAACAACTCTTTAAATATGGTGTACACCCTCAATTTCAAATATTCAAATGCGTTGAATTATTTTAAATATCTAATTATTATTTTTCCATTCTCATCAGTATGTACATTACAATCATCTTAATTAATATTTTTTTAGTATTTTTTTATTTTATTTCAGTTATTGCATTACATTCTCTTCTTCATTGATACGTTTCATACAAATAATATATAAACTATAATTAATGTTCTAGTAGGAATGACATGAATGATCAGACAGTAATTCCTGGTATGAGATCATTCATGAAGTATTATCGACTGTTGTATATATAATTGAAATTACAAATAGTGAACAAAACTTACATATCATTAAGATACAATGATATGTAAGTTTTGTTCACTATTTGTAATTTCAATTATACAACAGTCGATAATACTTCATGAATGATCTTATACCAGGAATTACTGTCTGATCATTCATGTCATTCCTACTAGAAAATTAATTATACTTTATATATTATTTGTATGAAATGTATCAATGAAGAAAAGAATGTAATGCAATAACTGAAATAAATAAATAAAATAAATACAGTCATATTATAGTGAACAAAAAGGGGAAAAATAAAAACAGTGAAAAAAAAAAGAAAAAAGGAAATTCATAGTCTTTCAGCTTTGATCATTCATTGCATATAAATATATTTCTTAACTTTATTTTTGAATTGCATAATATTTGGGCTGTTTTTGATATCATTTGGTAATTTATTGAATTTCGAAATCACCTCATGTGTAAACTTTTTTTGCCCAAGTTTAGAATTTGCAGCTCCAAGATGAAACAAGTTATATTGTCTAGTGTGATGATCATGAATTTCCGAATTCCTGATTAATATAAAATTTAATTTAAGCTTTTTGTTGATGATATAATAGGAAATTTTGAGAGTATTGATTAAAAAGTGCTCTTCCAAAGAAAATGTGTTTGTTTCCTTGTACAGTTGATTTGAATACCTACTTCAAATACTCTTAATACTTTTCAAATCCTTTTCAATTATTTCAAATCCTTCATAATTATTTTAAATACTCGAAATATATCAATAATGCATGTTGGAATCTTTTGCAATTGGTCAAGTCGTTGACTTCTCGACGGCTGGTGATCACGAGACTGAAGGCATGCGAATTTCGGCGAAAGAATCATAAACTCCGACCCCGAAATTTCCCAAGTTTGACCTTGATCGGTATATCTAGCCCCACGGGAAGTTATTCAGGTGGTCCATTAAATTTTTCATTTTTGAAGGACCGCTGAAGCCCCCCCGCGAGGTTTCCCGGTACATAAACTGGGCGTCAATTGAAACGTTAATAGTGAAATTTGGCATCAAGTTTGACTTCTCGTAATTTCTAAAATATTGAACGAATTTTGAATTGCCCCCCAGATTCTGAATGCCTTTTTCATCGTCTTTCGAACCGTTCCTTACAGCTTCTTCTAAATTGATCAGGATCCATGATACAGGGTGAAACAAAGTTATGTGCATTTTGAAAAAAATTTCTCCGCCCCCCATTTTGTCAGAAGACCACGATGCTCATATTTTATTCGGGCATTTCATAAATAGCAATAATAACCTCGGGACATTTTCGAGTTTCTGCCAAAAACTACTGTGGTTTACGAAAAAAAAATTTTTTTTTGCATTTTTTCTAAATGGACTAATTTTAGAGAAGTTCCATAAATGGATGCTTTTATGCATTTCAGGAAAGCGTTGGAGCAGATATTACTTTGCACTCTATGATAAAAGTTTTCTACCTTAGTGAGCAGTAAATCAACACATCTCATCAACAAAAACAAACAACGATACCTTGTTTCAATAACAACGTATTGTTGAAACAATGTAGGTATGCATAGAGGTTATATCAATTGCCAATTTTTATGAAAACGTCAGTGTAATTCGGGTCCTAAAAAATTTAAAGATGCCTCGTTCAAATCGGGTCGAAATGGAAAATCATTAGGTTAGATCACTATAGTGATATAAACTATAATTCAGTACAGATAACTATTATTTCAGGCTACGACGATTAGGATATACCCAAACTCTTTCAAGTACCATTTTCAATAAGTCAGTCATGACAATAAAGAGACTGATTCATCGTTTTGAGGATACAGGTAATTAGTCCATTTAAAAAAATGCTAAAAATTTTTTTTTTTCGGAAACCACAGTAGTTTTTGGCAAAAACTCGAAAACGTCTCGAGGTATGGTTGCTATTTATGAAATGCCTGAATAAAATATGAGCATCGTGGTCTTCCGACAAAATGGGGGTGCGGAGAAATTTTTTTCAAAATGCACATAACTTTGTTTCACCCTGTATCATGGATCCTGATCAATTTAGAAGAAGCTGTAAGGAACGGTTCGAAAGACGATGAAAAAGGCATTCAGAATCTGGGCGGCAATTCAAAATTCGTTCACTATTTTAGAAATTACGAGAAGTCAAACTTGATGCCAAATTTCACTATTAACGTTTCAATTGACGCCCAGTTTATATCCGTTCACCTTAACAAGGGCAATAAAGACAAGAAGAATAAATCATAATAGTTATTTAACCAACTAGTGTATTAATGAGGGCGAAAAATGATCGAGATATTATCAAGTTTGGGACATCTTCTCAATGCACCAATAATTGGAGATAGTTTTTTTTTGTCAGAACATCAATATGTTTGTCCCACTTCAACCTGTCATCAAACCAAATACCAAGATATTTTATCTGGTCAGTTTGTTTTAAGAGTACATTTTTTATTTCAAGGTTGAGGTAAATTTTTTGTTTATTTTCTTCGTGAAAAATCATATATTCTGTTTTGTTAGTATTTATCGATAAAAGGTTAGAGTGGAGAAATGAAAAAAAATTGAAAAGAACTTACCTGGAATGAACGTGGGTACTTTCAGCCTTAGTTTCGACCTCTTTAGGCGTCGACGGCGAATCGCTATGCGGGCTACCAAAAAGGTTGCTCTTATCAGTGTCCCTGCTGGAGGACACCGGCACCGAAACCTCTTTGACAATCTCTTTCACAACCTCCTTGAGGACAACGGGTTGTTTTTCTGTTCTCTTCTCGCTCTTCGAGTGCTTATCTTTGCGCTCTTTCTTCTTGTGGCGGTGTTTCTGTCTGTCTTCCGTCGGTTCGTCGCGGGGTTTTTCTGGCGGTTTTTCCTCTTCTTTGGGCGCGGGGGGGTCTTTGGGGGGCGCTTTTTCTTTCACCCTCTTCTCAGACTGAAATATAATCTTTTTCTACAGTTCTCAACACACTAAATGGACCACTCATAATTTGACTCTATTTCGAAGATCTGTATGTTTTGAAAAAATTGATCAATCTTCATGTGGTTTTCGATATCAGATGTGATGTTTCATCGGCTTCAAAGAGAGCTAGAACACTCTGACAAAGTCTACAGAACAGTCACACAGGGTGTAAAGTGGAACCATTACCCTATGGTCTACATTTCCAATGATGCCAGAACTCGAGAACTTTTTTTCTGATCAAAAGTCAGTCATATTATGATACACTGGGACCTCATCTCGGGACGTTTTCGTGATTTTTCCTTGATTGGCCATTGGAACAAAAATTCGATTTTTTTTCGAAAGTCTTGCATATCTTGATTTTTTTCTCTAGAACTCCACTTGAGCTGACTATTGGGAAGATATATTCTTATGTTTTTTGAAGGACAATGAAAGACGAAAAAAGCACTTTTTTGGTATATACAGGATGATAAGAAAATAGGACAAAATCTCATTTCAGTAAAAAAAAACAAAAATGGTGACTAAAACCATCATGGCCCATTCGATGCAGTATATTCAGAAACGGCCTTCTCGGTATCCTTTATTTATATTAGACTATTGACTCGAGACGTTTTCAAAAATTCGCCTCTAATATAAATACAGGATGAACATTTCCAATTCAAACTTGTTTCCTGGTATCGATGATTCTTATCATTTCATCAACTGATTTCCAATACGAATTGCCCTAGTATGAGACACAGAGTATTGTCGTTCAATATACTGAGTGTTTCACAACTTATCTGACAAATTACAAACTCTAGAAAACAATAATGTTAGAAGAATGTGGTGACCAGCATTATCTCCAGATCTGAATTTGATTGAACATGTGTGGAGCCGAATGAAACTTAACCTATCGAGAAGGCGAGCCACCCCAAAATAATGACAACCTTATCCAAGATGTATCAGAAGAATGGGAGGCAATATCAATAGACTTCATCAACAACCTCATAGAATCTATGCCAAACCGATTTCATGAGGTTTTGTTGAATCGGGGAGGCCTACCAAGTACTGAAATTGAGGATATAGGACTTTCTAGTTGGATCTTCATAATGCTGAAGAATTCACTAATGTCATATTTCGCCAATAGAGCCCTTTTCGAATAGTTTTAGTGGATATAAAGTGTTACAAATTTTATTTTCCATCTCGTTTTACTTCTATAAATTTTTTTTGTGATAGACTTCTTATGTAATATCGTAGTTGTGGTTGAAATTTGTCAGATAAGTTGTAAAACACTCGGTATATTGAACAACAATACTCTGTGTCTCATACTTGGGCAATAAATATTGGAAATCATCGATATCAGGATTTTCATCCTGTATTTCAATTAGAGGCGAATTTTTGAAAACGTCTCGAGTTAATAGTCTAATATAAATAATGGATATCGAGAAGGCCGTTTCTGAATATACTGGATCGAATGGGCCATAGTTTTAGTCACGATTTTTGATTTTTTTTACTGAAATGAGATTTTGTCCTATTTTCTTATCATCCTGTATATTCCAAAAAAGTGCTCCTGTCGTCTTTCATTGTCCCCCACAAAACATAAGAATATATCTTCCCAATAGTCAGCTCAAGTGGAGTTCTAGAGAAAAAATCAAGAAATGCAAGACTTTCGAAAAAATATCGAATTTTTGTTCCAATGGCCAATTAAGGAGAAATCACGAAAACGTCCCGAGATGAGGTCCCAGTGTATCATAATATGACTGACTTTTGATCAGAAAAAAATTTCTCGAGTTATGGCAGCATTGGAAATGTAGACCATAGGGTAATGGTTCCACTTTACACCCTGTGTAAGTTTTGTTCTGCGGACTTTTTCAGAGTGTTCTAGCTCTCTTTGAAGCCCATGAAATATCACATCTGATATCGAAAACCGCATGAAGATCGGTCAATTTTTTCAAAAAATACAGGTCTTCGAAATAGAGTCAAATTATGAGTGGTCCATTCAGTTTGTTGAGAACTGTATATCCGATAATACAGATGTTAATACACGGTGAGTCATTGAAATGGGAAAGCGAGATAACGGCTTCGCTGTTTGATATAGATGAATGGAAATTTTTGTGATGGTTTAGGCTCGTGAGCAGCATATTTCTGAATTACTTTGCGTATACAGAGTGACTAAAATATGCGTGGCGTATCAAAGTTATACTTTTCATTATAGGACACGCTGTATTTTATTGCATTTTCGGATTCTCTTTTGTGAGCTGATTCCATCAATACATCTCACTCGGGATCTAGCGGGAATGATTACAGATATATGGGGTGTTCAAAATCGAGATAATTCAACTTTACGATTTTTCTGTGCTGAAACTATTAATTATTCGTCAGAACGGCTCACATGTCCCCATCTTAACTTTTGATTCACTATCTACTGATATTTAATTTAGACGAATACAGGGTAGTTCATAATTCTGAATGATGAACCACCCTGTATTCGTTCGGCGATTAAATTATTGATTCAGAAGTGCTTCAGCTGCAACAAATTTCAATGCACCATTGATGGGAGAGCTCAGCCACCAATGTATATGCGCTTGCAAATCCGTATCCAGGAGGATGAGTTTTTCGAGCACTTCCCAAGTATATCTGACCGCGAATAGAAAAATTTTCATTGGATGAATTATATAAAATAGATTCTCTTAAAGTTTCATATAATATCATAAACAATAATCTTGAATCCAATTTTGTTTTGATAAGAAACTCAGAAATTCATTTGAAAAGGAATATTCTCAGATAAATTATGAACATACAAAAATGGATATATATTCATATAAAGCAATACATTGAGAATTCGCGTTCTCTATGTGATGAGAATATTTACTCTTTCTCAGTTGATTCAATAGAAAACAACTACTTTCCTGGCTATATACCACGACGAACATTGAATTATATCTATTGAACACACACGATAAGAGTTTGAAAATAAAATATAAAAACTTCTGAAATTGAGAATTTGCATTCTCCTCCAAACTTGAACGATGGAAACTTGTGATTTTTATAGACCTCTAATCGCAGATTTGTGATAGAGTCTCAATTCAGAATTTCTTTCCACGCCCTGTATGATGAATGTCAATTTATCATACACCCAAAAGCAAAAAAATCAGAAATTCATGGTCATCACAGGAGACAATTAGACTCATTTCATCTTGATTCTGCTACTTCTATAATGGGGGAGACCACTGATATTTTAAAATGACATTATCGTGAACTCTGTACTGAAAAACTACCAGCGAATCAATTTTGAATTTTGTCATTCATGCTAAGACGATGGAAAAAATAAATTAGAATATGTCCATTTCAAAACACACAATTCCTGCGCCATTTGAAATGACTGGTGCGACGTCTTATTCCCAACACGCCTATTGTCCTTGAACTAACCAATCACACTGCAACACTGCAGAATGACGAGGTATATCAGAGAGAGATAGCTACAGTTCGGGACTAATACGTCACGACTCCACCATCATATTTGGCTGTTTGAAATATCGAATGAAATATGCTGATTTCAAAACGATATAGATTCGATTCCCTTCAACTTTAACTCATAATATTGATTGTACATCAAACGTAAATTATGATTCGTCGATTGAAAGAGGTTTGCACGGATTTCTTCTCTCAGTGGTCTTCCCCATTGGCCAAAAAAAATTTACTCACGCTGCTCTAGCTGAATTCAATAAATTACCACATAATATAAAAAATTGCAGACACATTTCAAAATTTAAAATTGAATTAAAAAAACACATGATAATATCTTATTACGAAATGGATAAAATTGATACTTTGCCATCTACTGATTAGTCCCTGTGGCTCTTTTTATGACTTGATCAATTTAGCATTTTTTTTATTATTTTTTGTTGTCGTTGTTGTAACCTTATATTATTTTATTATTGTTATAAGTAATCAACTTCCTCATACCAGAATTATCCTATTTCTGGCTGGAAGCTAGTTTCTCAATAAACAATAACATACAAACTTTAAATGCGCAACCTTGGTATAAAGTAGGAAAAAGTGCAAAAGCAGGGGGATAGGGTGGAAATAATTCAAACACACTACATAAAATGAAATACTTTGTGTGAAGACGCTGATGACTGGGAAGCAACAGGTGGCACAGTGACAGGACTGACGTCTTTGACCTTGTGATTGGTCGTTTCCTTTTCTTTGCTGGACTTGCTGTCCCTGCTCTTGTGCTCTTTGTGCTCCTTCTCTCGATCTTTGTCTCTGTGCTTGGAGTCTTTGTGATCTCTCTTATCCTTTTTGGACTTCTTCTCCTCCTTGCTCCTATCTTTGTCCTTGTCTTTGTCCTTCTTCTCCTCTTTGCTTTGTTCTTTTTCTTTGTTGCTGCTGTGTTTTGGTGCAGGGACAGGACTTGGTGCGCGCTTTGGAGATCTGCAAGGAAATGAAAATGGTTTTGGTTGAGGGATATTTCTTTTATTCGAATTTACCACATCAATTTCTCTTGACAACATTGATTCTTTGATCATACCTGACTTTTTGAACCTAAAATGTTGAACTGTGCCATGGGCAAAAGTTTGATCTCCATCTGTTATGGAAACGTCAAAACACTTGGGTGAAAGTAAGAAAGTTTGATTAAATTATCAATTATTTTTCAATTTTCTACGGATTTTTTTTTTGCAAAAATATAAAAACAAACCCATTTTATCTAGGTAATTCGGTTTGTTTGAATGATTTTGCTTCAAATAAGGTAATTTGAGTGACGAAAATAAAAAAGTATCGGATAAAATTTCTCGGAGAATTGAAAATTGATTTTTTTTATAAATGACATCAAAAGTGGGTTTTTCATGACACTTATTATTGCCTGGCCCAAAAGTTGCATTTTTACTGCCTAGGCAGAAATAGTTTGTTGCAATGCAATTTTCCAAGCAATACTTTAAATCAAATTGGTAATCAGAATTGATTATGATATTGGGTGAACACAAAATAATGGGAGTTTTCAATAAAAAAATTACACAAGATTGATTCTATAACATTTGGAGATATCATTATACAGGGTGGCCCTTTGAAAACGAAACAGAGTCTCTGTAGGTCGTCAAAACCGGATTATGAAAAGAATCTGAAACACCACAACTACATTTTCGAGAGAAACATCGATCTAAAATATCTTCAGCCCTGCGGCGTTACCGCTTCTAACGAAAAGAAGCAACAACTTTTTTATTTCAAATGGAACACCTTGTATTTTTAGATTCTCCTCGAAGAGCTGATTTCATTAATGCATCACACTTGGGGTCTAGCTGATTGGGATATAGGGTGTTCAAAATCGAGATTTTTCATATTTTTCTGAATCTTGAACTACCCTGTATTTGTTTCAGATAAATGTCAGTAGATATAGTGAATCGAAAGTTGAGTTATATGAGCCGCTTTGACCAATGATGAATAGTTTCGACAAAAAAAAATCCTAATGCAATGAAATACAGGGTGTTCTATTTGAAATAACAAAGTTGTTGCTTCTTTTCGTTAGAAGCGGCAACGCCGCAGGGCTGAAAATATTTTAAAACGATGTTCTCCTCGAGTATGCAGTTGACATGTTTCAGATTTTTTTCATAATCCGGTTTTAGCGACCTACAGAGACTCTGCTTCGTTTTCAAAGGGCCACCCAGTATATTTCACGTGGCAATTCGGCTTCTGTATTGGTAGAGCAAATCCGATAAAATTTAATAAACAGAATATATCGCTAGAATGCAGAAGAAACCGTGAAAATGGTCGATTCTGATTGGTTCTCGAGATCAAGACTGGAATAGTCAGTATAATACCTAATGATTGGCTACAAAAACGTCACATTCAGATATGTAAAAAAAATAATCAGTAGTAATATAACTCATGTTGATGAAAATTAACAATTCCCTATTTGCAGGAATGCAGATTATTTTGATTCTGATTATGGAATTTCTATTAAAATTAAACAAATCCAACAAAGTTTCCTGCTTTCTAAGATTCATTGAAATCATGGAAATGGATTGTGAAAGCAACAATTTGATAGATGAATAATATTTTCTGTTGGAAGTTGAATAGTAGATTGTTTTATTAGGATCAAAAGTGACTTTCTTTGACAACCGAATTTTGCATTTGCGAAGCCGAGCGAAAGCAAAATTTGGGAGTCAAACAAAGTCACTTTTGATCCGAATGAAACATGCTATTTTTTCTGCAATCGAAAGAATTAACTCTAATAAATATGCACCAATGCCGTGCCATATGTATGCAATGCAACAAATAATCCGCCGTGCATTAACAGATCAGGTTTATTCAATTTTCAAGGATGTTCAAATTGTAGTTTCAATATAAATACAACCACAGAGTGACATATTTGTGTATGGACCAGGTGCTCTAATAGCAATTACGGCGCCTCTGCCAGGTATAGGAAAAAGACGTGGAAAATGTTACGTAAGTGAGCATACATCAACAATAATAATAGCGATTATTCATTTCTCTCCATACTCCACTGTGTTTGGCTCGATAATCAAATGAAGGTAAACAAAAAACTATTGCTGGCCATGATTATTCAAGCAAGTATGTGAATCTTGAAGGCTTTTCTGATCAAAACAAAGTTACTCAACTATAAAAAGGTGTATTTATATCTCCAGCATGGGTATGAAATGATAAATCTGCCGAAATCGGAAACAAATCACTTAACAATGTTGTTTATTCTTGATGACCTCTAGTACATTCTTTTTAGTTCCTAGGAGCTAAAGTTCAACCACAGAAACGTCAATTCAAGAGCTAATTTTGCTATTGAAATGGACGACTTTTGTGTTGGTTGCAGAAAAATCTATTTTTGTATTCAACATAGTAACTAAAATTCTCATTATTCACTGAAATAATTTGAATTACAGATTTTTCATTTCCCAGAAAATTTACATAGCTATAAAAAGATTAAGTATCAATAATGTTGTTTTTGAGGCATGAAAATTCAAAATGAGTAATAGCTCATGATAAATGATTATAAATTATTAAATATTGCTACAAAAATCCGAATTTTGGTAATTTTCCTTGAAAATATAACTTTCACTACATTGTTTCTTTATTTTTCCGCCCAACAGAAAAAACATTTCTTATAATGTTGAAAGCCTTATGGATTGCATAATGTTCATGAAAATTCAATGTAACTTCTAATAATACTCTAATTCTCATTTTATTATGATCAATAATGATCAATTCAATTGTTACATGTTTTGGACATATATATGCCCATCTTCAGCAGGGTTGGGCAAATCTTGATTTAAAAAAAAAATCAAAAATCATTGATTTAAATAAAAAATTCATGATTTTTTTGATTTTTTTGATTTTTTTTGATCTTGGTCGCGATAAATATAGGTACCTGTCAACATTCATGTCAACATACTCTTTCAAATGCCGTGGAACAATGGAAAAACTTAGAATATATCTTTGAAGAAGATCAAAATCTATCAATTCAACAGCTTCAAAAATTTCAGCGCCGATATGAACAAGCACTGACCCCTTACCACTTGATAGCTTATATGATGGACCCATCTAAGCAAAAGTACAGGTTGACTGTCAATGAAAAAAATTTGGCTTTAAAAACTATAAAAGAAATGTATGGTAATAGTGGATTATTACCATTACTAATAAAATTTAATGCTCGTTCTTTGCCCTTCAAAAACATCATGTTCTCTGAAGAAATTACGAAAAACGTCAGTGGAATTCAGTGGTGGCTATCACAAGCTGACAATGAATCAGAAATCAAGAAACAGATACCTGTGTTAAAACAATTTCTTTGTGCTACTGCTTCTTCAGCCTCAGTGGAACGAGTGTTCAGTACCTTTGGGCTGGTACATAGACTGGGGGTTGAAAAGGCAGGAAAATCAGTATTTTTGTTTAAATATTATAATGAAAATTGAAATGTTCTATGTTAGTTTCAATGTCAGAAAACTTATAAAATAATGTAGAGTATGATTAAGATATACCTATGTATATGTTTCAATATCCCGTTTTTTTAGGAGTTTTACTATTTTATTTCAGTTTAATATTTTTCATCATTCAAATAAATAATAAATATTCTCGAAATTATTATTTTGATTTAAATTGTGATTTTAAAAAAAAATCATTTGATTTAAATCATGATTTTTATCTTGATTCAAATCAATTGATTTAAATCAGCCCAACCCTGATCTTCAGACTAATAAAATTACTACATCTCTGTCTGTAATTTTATTAGGCTGAGGATGGACATAATTATGTTCAAAACATGTACCAATTGAATTGATTGTTATTGATCAAATCAAAATGTAATGGAGATGATTTTTAGTATTATTTAGTAGTTGCTACTTTACTTCATTTTGAGAAACCATGGATTTCTACCAAATAATAAAATTCAATGTATTGAAAGTTGTGACCATTAAAAACTGATTTATGGAAGCAAAAATAATAAAAATATAAGTAATCTACATTACAATATGACTAAAGCCAGTTTATGCATTCATTTGAATTTGAATATCTCAACTACTTGCTGATGTTTTATGGGAAGTTGAAGGTTATGTGATTCTTGATAAAAATAAACAAAAGATTATAAAAGAATAGTAATTTTGTCAGGGGCAAAAAATGGGGAAAACAAGGTGAAGGTACACCAACCCAATGAAGCACATTACTATCAATTTAGGGTATTTGAAAGATGCAATAATTGCTATAATCCTAGAAAAATCATTGCAAAAAAATTAAATGAGTATTATTATGTTAGTTTTGAACTCCCTGAATCCAAGACATGAAATCATACTGTTGAATCACACAGTATGTTATTCTTGTTTCTTCATTCACCTTTTAGGACTGGGACTTTTTGGTCTATGTGGTGGGGACTTTTCTCTCTCTTTCTCCTTGTCTTTTTTGGAACTTTTGTCCTTTGTTTTATCTCTATCTTTGCTCTTGTCATCTTTGGATTTCTTTTTCTCTTCTTTCCTCTTATCAGAACTTTCAGGAGGTTTTTCTTTTGACTTTTCTTTCTCTTTATCTTTGTAAGGACTTTTTGTTTTAGATTTTTCAGGTTTCTCTTTGTCAGTACCTAAAATAAGAATTATTAAATTGGGAAATAAGTGAGAGACAAAATAATGATAGATAGAAAAAAATGTTACTTTTTTCTGTGCTTGAAGAACTCTTAGGTACTTCCTTGGGCTTTGGTTGTTCTGGTGCTTTGCTAGTTTTTTTTATAGGAGGCCCAAATAGATTTTCAAAATCTGTATTTCTTGGTTCTTCAGGCTTGATTCTGTGTTTCTTGGTGGCCACATCTGTGCCACTTAGTTTTGGCTTGCTAGTCATTTGATTTTTTTCATCTACTTTACTACTATCACTATTATCTAGGAAGTTACTTCCTGATCCAACCTTAAACAATAGAAAAATAATATTTTTGTTTGAAATAATGATACAGTACCTGTTTTACAGATGTCTAATATGTTCATTTTACAACTTACTACTGCTCCACCTTTCAAAAGTTTACTTTTGAACTCTTCAGAGGGGTTGAAAAAAGTGTACTTTTCTTTTTGTACTTTATGGATAGGAGGGCCTGTTGGTTGAAGCTGAAGATCATAATTGAATTTGATTTTCTTTGGATCCTGATTGTTCCTCAGGTAGATTTCAATTGGCAAATTGAATCCTGCATAACCAGAAGTTCTCAAGGAATATGGAGGTTCTTTCACAACTAAAAAATTCATTAGCAGCATTCAACAAACAGTAAATTGGCAGGTGAATGATTCAGAATTTGATACTTCAAAAGTTGAATTTGCAAGGCAAGTTACCTCTTTTAGGTTTGGGAAATGTCTCATGCAAGTGGAACACAACTTTTTCTACATAGTAATGAATATCTACACCATTAAATCCTTTAACAAAGACCTCCCAATCATGTGTGAAACCCTCAGGTGTTGTTTTTGATCTTAGAGAGGCATCATGCCCAATTTCCAGCAAAATGGTTATGGACATGATTTACTTAGACATCCCTCAATTCCTCCATGACAAACAAGCTTTTTCGCATGATTCTTCATTAAGAATTCGTCACATTTGAAGTGTATAGTAACCTAATTTTAGATTATCCCTACATGTGGTAAAACATTAGAGTACTTTTGCTTGGTCCCTGTTTACACTTGGACGTGGCTCAGAATTTTCCCATAGTATCGTTTAATTTCAAACGACTGTTTTGATATCACACAAAAATAATTTCCAAATAATGCAGATTAGTTCAGTTAAAAATTATATCAATATAGACAAGGATTTGTTTACGGTCTATTCCGTCTATTTTGATTTGACACTTTTGACAGCAATCAGCATAATATCAGCAATGACAGACATCTAACTTCAACTGTCAATCAACAGTGCGAGGTTGCCGAAGCGAAAATTCAATTAATCGATCCGAGCCAACGGGTAAAAGAATAAGAAGACGAGACAGTTAACTGAGTTAACCTCGTGAACGTTTTTTAGTTTCTACTTTTTCGGTTATTCACTCCAGCTGTTCAGCTTAATATTCATTCTTCAGTTGGTTTTAATGTTTATTTAATATTTAATATTTATTGTATGCTTTTGGTTCGCCATATGTAAGGTAAGAGGCAAAGACAAGCCCAAATATTGTACATTCTGCTTGTTGAAATGTGGAGCTATTAACAGCCGGTGGCAAATTCGAATCACATTAATATATATTTCCATGTATATTTCAGGTAATTTTGGAGATGGCACAACTCACAGAGAATATTCTAAAGTACCTATCCGAAAATGGAAATGTCAATACACTCATATTAGCTGCTCATTTTGAAGAAGACCACCAGAAAATCATTGGAGCACTGAAAAGCCTTCAAGCTTATGGCAACCTAATAGAAGCTGAGCCAGTGAGTGAAAAAAGAATAGAACTAACTGAAGAAGGAAAACACATAGCTGAAAATGGTTAAGATTGATTTAGTATGCACTTATCAATGTAGATTACTTATTTTGGATTTCAGGTAGCTATGAAGTTCATATTTACAAAGCTATTCCTGAAAATGGTATTGCCCAATCTGAATTGATGAAACTGGCCAATGCTAAGATAGGGTTCAGTAAGGCAATGTCTGCTGGTTGGATTCTTGTAGATAAAAGTTCCACACCTCCTTTAGTCAAGAAGAAAGTGGCAGAGATCTTTGATACAGTTCAAGAACACCTAAAAAAACTTGCATCTGGGGATGGGTCAACAATCCCTGATAAAGACAAACAGGAATATAAAAAAAGGAAACTCATTCAAGAGGTTGTTGTGAAGAGTTTCAGCCTGAGCAAAGGTGCTGAATTCAGTCTTACTTTATCTAAGCTAGAGACTGATTTGACAACAGAGATGTTGACATCAGGGAGCTGGAAAACCCTGAAATTCAAAGAATACAACTTTGATGCACTGGGTGTTCCTCCAGAGTGTGGTTATCTCCATCCCCTTCTGAAAGTCAGATCAGAATTCAGGCAAATTTTTTTGGAGATGGGATTCAGTGAAATGCCCACCAACAATTACATTGAGAATTCTTTCTGGAACTTTGATGCCCTTTTCCAACCACAGCAACATCCTGCTAGAGATGCTCATGATACTTTTTTCATCTCTGATCCCAAGATCAGCACTAAGTTCCCTCAGGATTATATGGAAAGAGTTAAAAAAGTGCATAGCAAAGGGGGATATGGATCACAAGGGTAGGTAAGACAGAATATACAAGATTGTTCAAGTTGAAATGAGTACCTTCTAAATAGAATTTAGGAATTTTTGGTATCATTTTGAGGGAAAGGGGGAGGGTAGGGGGTAAATCCCAGCCAACAAAAACAGCTTAATGAATTGAATTGTAGCAAATTCTCTAATGAATGCTGTTAGTTTAAAAACAAATAACCACAAACAGTCAAATTAACAAAGTTAGGTACTCATTTACCATTGAATCAAAAATCAAATACTGGAGGGACTATGGATAAACAAATAAGGAAATAAAAACAACCATGGTCATTTTTCACACCTCTTAAGATGGTCAAGGAGATTCCTAGAAATTAGTGGGATGTCATAGAGGACATCTGAAAGAATTAATGTAATTCCAGAAATTGAAGAAATTTCAGGAAATTTTGAGATAATTTCAAAGAAATCTAGAGAATTCTGATAAATCTGTGGGAATCTGAAAAAAAAATCAAGAAGATTCCAAGCAATTCAAGGTAATTTCAGTAAATTTAAGAAGATTTCATGAAATTTTATTGTTCTTGAGATTATTCCAAGAATGAAATTTTCTAGTATTTTAGGTAGCTCTCAGAAATTCAAAAGAATTACAAGATATCCTAGGAATAAACAAAAAATCATCTTGAATCCAAGAGAATTCTATAAAAAATTGAGTAGCTCATGCCTCACAGTTTTTCCTTATTCCAATCAATGAATTTCAAGGAGATTCCATAGAATTCAAGAGAATATCAATTGATTCAAAGGGATTACAAAAAATTGAAGGAACCCTCTAGAAGTCCATTAAAAATTTTAGTATTTCTAAAAAATTCCTAAAAAAGATGTCAAAAATATCCCAGAAATTTAGGGAATTCCACAGATATTTGTAAGATTACCTAAAAATTCCAGATAATTCTCAGGTATTCCAGAGAGAATTCTCAAGTATTGGAGAGAATTTTCAGGAATTCTGAAAAATACTGAGGAATTTCACCAAATAACTAGGAATTGTGGTGTTTTGAGGGTATTGAAGGAATTAAAAGGAAAATCTAAAATCTAAAGAATTCAAGACAATTTCAGTCAATTCAAAGGGGTTGCAAAAAAATTGAAAGAATACTCCAAATTCAAATATTATAGGAATTCAAGAGAAATTTCAGTACTTCTAAATAATTTCTGTGAATGTCTAGAGAAATACCTGAATTTTTTCAAGTTCTTCAGATATTTGTGACATTTTCCAGAAATACCAGAGATATTTCAGGTATTCAATAAAATTCCCAGGTATTGGAGAGAAAATCCCAGTATTGGAGAAAATTCTGAGGAATTTTACAGAATTAATATTAAATGGAAGAAACACAAGGGAATTCCAAAGAATTCAAAAAAATGCCTAAGATTACATGGATTTTTCAGTAAATTCAAGGGATTCCATTGAATTCAAATTAATTTTTAGAAATTCAAGATATACAGGGTGATTCAGGTTTTAAGGCACAAACTGAAATGGGAGATAGATCTCATCATTTTAATCAAAAAAGTTTATACAAGCATTAGTCCGATCTCGTTAAGTAGCAGAGCTACAGGGGGTCAAATTTATTGTTTTTTATTAATCGAAATATCTAGCTTACTTTTCAAGATATCATTTTGAAATTTGGTGTGGTCAATACTTCCTAGAAGATCATCATTTCAAGCTCTTTAAAGATTTTCAAAATCTACAGGGTGAGACGTTTTTGGGGGTAGAGGCTTATTTATCCCCCCCAAACTTTTTCATAGTACGCCTCTCGCATCTTTCAGTGATCAAATTGTGTAGATCGTTCAATTTGAAGCCTTTTTTGCTCTCCAATTTTTTTCGAAAAACGAACCGTTTTAGAGATGATTGAGCATATACGTTCTAAAACATGCAAATTTTGCCTATGTATCGTTTGAATTTCATTCAGATTCGTTGAAAATGCAATGAAATATACTCACTGAAATTGCAATCACGAGTCCAATTTGGATAAGTAACGGGAATACGGAGGGTAGAAAGTCAAGGTTTTTTTTTTTCAGTTAAAACGTATCACCCTGTAGATTTTGAAAATCTTCAAATGACTTGAAATGATGATCTTCTAGGAAGTATTGACCTCACCAGATGATATCTTAAAAAGTAAGTGAGATATATCAATTAATAGAAAAAAAATATTAAACTTTGACCCTCTGTAGCTCCGCTACTGAACGAGATCAGACTAATGTTTATATAATTTTTTTAGATTTAAATGAGATCTATCTCCCATTTCAGTTTGTGCCTTACAACCTGAATCACCCTGTATATTCAAATTCCAATTCTTCCAGAGAACTATTCAGAATATGAGATAATTCGTAGAAAATCAGGAGAATTGCCTTGTATCAACAAAAAATTGAAGAAATCATGAAATACATTTAAATTTTTCATTGAATTCTAAGGAATCATAGGGATTTTGTCAGAATTTATCGAATTGTGGAACATTTGAAGCAATTCCGAGAAATTTTGAGGAATTTAAAATCACCTGTGGCCAATTTTCACACCTCGGAAAACCCTATTTTTATTTTTCTCCATGTATGAATCCATTTGAAATTGCCAATTTTTCAGTTATGGTTATGATTGGAAAATAGAAGAAGCCCAAAAAAATCTATTGAGAACTCACACAACGGCCGTCAGTGCCAGAATGTTGTACAAAGTGGCCCAACAAAAGGAGTTCAAACCGATAAAACTGTTCAGCATAGATAAAGTGTTCAGAAATGAAACTTTGGACGCCACACATTTGGCCGAGTTTCATCAGGTCGAAGGGGTCATTGCCGATTATAATCTGACGCTGGGCGATCTCATCGGTGTTTTTGCCGAATTCTTCAGGAAATTAGGTAGGTGATCATTTCAAATTCACCGAAATCCACCAATGGCAATTATCTCCCCTATTTTTGATCTTAAAACTCCATAATACTCAGATTTAGGAGAAAATACAATCTCAAATACAAAACTAATGTAACATCCTGGTATTTTGCAAAATCATATTAGTTTTTTCTGAAATGAAGACGTTTTTCCATATCTAAATCCACTACTATAGAATTTATCAAATATTTTGATAGTTTATACCATATTCCATCACATGAAACCTGCATTGTAACCTGAAATATTGATATGAAACTGGATTTCCAACACCCTGTATATCAAATGAAGCAACACTGCTTTCATCATTTGATCGTTTTTTGTAGGGATGCACCGGGAACTGTTTTCTGAAAAAGCCGGGTATCGGTTACCCGATTTTAAAGGTAGGCCGGGTAACGGATACCCGGCGGCCGGGTATTATCAACCAAATAAGTGCATTGAAGCTGTCGTGTAGTTTCTATATTCCATCATATCTATCTCCTAATATGTATATTGCACTAAGCCACAATGCCGACGAACGTTATTCTTTGAAACATCAATAAAAACCATGCATAATGACAATTTACCACTCCTTAATTTGGAATATTAGTTTTTTTGTTTTGGGTTCTAGTGAGAATGTTATTTGTGTTATTAATATATTTCTGTTCCCGAGCCTTTTAGTTTTTGTCTTGACCACCGTTTATTCCGGAAAAAATACCCGGCCGGGTACCGAGAACCCGGCCGGTACCGGGTACCCGGTGCATCCCTAGTTTTTTGTTCAGAGGAAATGAAACTATTCTATGTGCTCGGAAATTTGAACTCAACATTTTGTGTTGAAAACGGTGATTGGAGTAATTATTTATGTATCTAATAGATATAGAGACAACGTGAAAATTTGTGGTTCTTTTTGTATCAGAAATGAAAATTACTTATATGGAACTCCTATGCTTCTTCAATATATTATTTCCATATCATGTAAACAATAAATTATCCACACATTCTTCAATTGAGCATGCGCAGATTTCACTTAAGCACAATAGTTCATGTTGATCAATTTTCAAGGTCATTTCTTATGCTCATGCTAAGAACCAAAATCAGCGTGTCAACAGTCTCATTGAAATAATGAGTATCATTGCAAAAGTTGTATGAAGCCGCCATTGAGTATGTTGGTTTCTTTTCTAAAACATGGAATCTAAGACAGGTAGCCGTGCGGACAAAGTGTCAGTATTCTAATCCGCATTCGTTTGCCGGTCGTGGGTTCAATTCCCGCGACTGCAGACATTTTTCTGATGGCCTGAGAAATTTGGGATCACACGTTAAAAGGTAAGGTCCCCGTCATTCCTTGCTCGCACAAGACTCTCGAAGACTTCTGAGGGTTGCTCGTAAGGGGGCAACCGAATGACGGATAGAACAATTTTAGACAATTTTTTTAAAGTGGTGTTCGCCATTTTTGATCACAAGAACATCTAAGAACGGTAATTGACTATTCATTTCCGCTGTTTCCAATCGGGCTGTCGTTTCAGGAATCACCCAGCTCGAATTCAAACCGGCCTACAACCCGTACACCGAACCCAGCATGGAAATCTTCTGTTTCCATCCCGGCCTGGGTAAGTGGATCGAAATCGGTAACTCCGGAGTTTTCCGGCCGGAAATGCTGCTGCCAATGGGCCTTCCCGAGGACGTTTGCGTCATTGCTTGGGGCCTGTCGCTTGAAAGGCCCACCATGATCAAGTATGGGTTCAATAATATTAGGGATCTGGTGGGGCCCAAAGTGGATTTGGATATGGTGCAGAGGAGTCCAATTTGCAGGTTGAATAAATGATTCGATTGGTTGGTTTGACAGCAAAGCGTTTTATTTTTTCGTTAGCAAGTGTGTTACGATTTGAGATTTGTTGGCAGCCCCTCAGATTGAATATCAATAGATATACACCGCTCATTCATCAGTCATTGAAAAGTATGCGCCACAAATCCTAAAAGCAAAACACGGATAAGTGAATGACATCGCGAATGGTGGGGATAATAACAGTTGCGGGTGAGTGCTTAGACGCTCAGACTAAATAATGTTCCTGAGGTTTTACGTGCTTTCCCTGCCGTGAGGCTAAAGGCTGTGTCTCACGGTTCAACAATTTGATCAAACCACAGATCTGTGATGTCATTAGTGACGTCACGTCAAACAACAGCTGAAATTTAGAACTTGTTCTGAATATTCATCATGTTGGATCAAACAATAAGGTTAAGATGATTGTTTTTATGTTTTCTTCATTGACTATTATTTTATATCTTGAGAATTAACAAGAAATATTGTCATCAATTTTATGAATACTCCAAAAATGTCTGTCCTGGTAATTGGACTGAGGCCCATTTCGGATAATTATAGGAATATGTTTGTCTTTGTTATGATCTCGCCTCATTTCTGCAGGTATACGTTCACGCGCATATATGGATTGATGAAAATCTGAAACATCTCCCATCCATTCTTAGGTAGTTTTGAAATTTACTATTGATCATTCTAGAACACGTGATTTTGACATGTTTTCTTGAGGGGCTCACAAACTTTCTGTTAGTTCACCTTTGATGAGCATTGCTCTGGCTGTCCCTGCCACATCCACAATATAATAACAGTTCCACCAAACAAAATTATGAAATTCTTTCTGGTTCCAACTCGGATTCCGAGGAAAACGATCCCACTAATTCTGGTTTTATGTAACCAATCTTGACAAAATACAATGTTTGCCCCTCAGCAACCTGTCAAATGACGTAATTCTGGAATGATTAATGGGATATCTTCCAGTCTCACTTCATTAAAAATCATAGATAGGACTCCTCTACCAATATTTTTTCATTGAAGCCATTATCTTGTACATATCCCCCTCTTTTGTTTTTTAAATCACTTTGTATTACAAATACAACACAAAATTCTTACCATATAATGCATTTTTATTCAATTTTTCTTTGTGATTTTTCCCATTTTAGAGAACCTACTTCAAATCGTGTGACAGAGATTTCTTGACATTTCAATCCATTTGAGTCAAACAGGCAAGAATGATGTCACATCAAACAAATTTGGTCAAATTGCTGGACCGTGAGACACGGCCTTTAAAAACACGGCCTCCCTAGAGACAATAACGGGGCCCGGATACGCCGGATCTAACGCCCAGATAGCATGACTGCTACCATTAATACCAATGGTGGGGTCCTATATTCATCAAATTGCTGGTTATGCAGTATCAATGCCCGAGCAGATTTAGCGCGGCTCTCCCGGCGATCTCGGGGTCTTAAGGTGCTCAGCACTCACCCATAGTGCTGATTATTCCCCCGAGACTCAGCCAAGCATGTCGGCAACCACGTGACCTCCAGAGTACGACACCATGTGGAGAGGTATTGGTGTGCTGACGTACCCAATAAGGCATTCCTCTCCCGGGTACGCATTGTCAATTCAGTCGGTCAGAAATATAGCTTTTCTTGATATTTTAATGGACTGTATGACTTTTCAAAATTATTTAATTATCTGACAAATACATATTGATTCCGTTTCCAAGATAACTACAGAATGTTATAAAAATAAAATCATTATGAACAACAACATTCTCCCCCCTAGTGAGGAACATCTTGATGGATTGTTTCTTCACTCTGGGTTATATTCATTCGACATAGTTTGGAGACTGGTCGTCGAAAAATACCATACTGGGTCTTCACGTCGGCCACTCTTACTCTTCCATCGGGACCAAGTATAATGTTCTCCACTTTGCCCATTCTCCAAAGGTTTCGAGGTGCAGTTTCATCCACAATGATTACAATATCATTTTCCTTTAATGATTCTGTCTCATGTGTCCATTTAGTGCGCTTGGTTAATGAGGGCAAGTATTCCTTGACCCACCTTTTCCAAAATGAGTCAGCCATTTGTTGAGTTTTTCGCCATTCCTTTCGCAAAAACTTTCCATCAAATTTTCCTAATGGTTTGTCACCACAACTTGAACCCAACAACCAGTGATTTGGAGTGAGTGCTTCAAAATCAGTCGGATCTATCGATACGTGGGTTAGGGGTCTGCTGTTCAAAATTAACTCAATCTCACTAAAAAATGTTGATAAGGTTTCATCCTTCAAGCTGTGCCCATTCAGAATAGCATGAAGACATCTTTTAACGCTTCCAATCAGCCTTTCCCATGATCCAGCCATATGTGCAGCGCCCGGAGGTAAAAATACCCATTCAATATCTTTCATACAGAGGAATTCTGATATTTTTGCTTTATCCAAGTCTCTAACCGATTTTTTGAGTTCTTCTGCCGCTCCACGAAAGTTCGTCCCGTTGTCTGAAATAATCTGCCTTGGAGGACCTCTTCTGGAAATCATACGTCTTATAGCCATAATAGCCGAGTCGGTGGTCAAAGAATGTGCAATTTCTAGGTGTACAGCTCTAATGGACATGCACGTGAAGATAACTCCCCATCTTTTTTCTGTATGTCTTCCAATTTTTACTTTTAGTGGACCAAAATAATCGATACCGGTATAGGTAAATGGTCGTGCACTGGGTGTTAGTCGGAAAGCAGGTATTTGTCCCATCAGTGGCAATTCGGGTTTTGCCTTCCTAATACGGCACTTCAGACATTTTGCAAATACTGACCTAACCGCTGCTCTTCCATCGAGTATCCAGAATTTCTGTCTCAACGCATTTAGTACAGTTTCGAGGCCTTGATGTAAATATTTTTCATGATGATACTGAATGAGAAGAATAGTAAATCGGTGCTTAGATGGAAGGATATACGGCCGTCTTGTTCGCTCTGCCAGAAACGTCGTGAGGTCGGTTCTTCCACTCAACACTATGATACCATCTTCGAGAGCCGGTGTAAGTTGGTGTAGTCTGCTGTGTATATTCAATGGTCTATCTTTCTTCAATTCTTTCAATTCCTCAGGAAACGACTCAGATTGGCAATTGCGAATCCATAGTTTTTCCGCTTCTTTCATCTCGTGTGTTGTCAATATTAGTTCAGTTGGTCCTAGAATTTTTCTGATTCTGTTTTTCAGCTGTTCTACATATCTCTTCATCCATGCAGTGACCCTGATGAGTTTTAGATATGACGAAAATCTGTTGATGTCAGGCAGGCCGATATAAACTTGATTCATGAAGAGCGTCACTTCATTGTTCAATGAACTGTCTATATTTTCTCCAGGAATATGTTCACACGAGAACTTTTTAGTTGGCCATTTCGTTTCATCTTTTTCCAAAAGAAATTCAGGACCATCGAACCATCTTTCAAAATTTGTGGGGTTACTGCCGTCATTATGGTATGTCCTGGTTGCGAGATCAGCAACATTTGATTTTGATGGTACCCAATTCCAATCGCAAACATTAGTCGCCTCTTGTATCTCTCCAACCCGATGCGATTCAAATTGTCCTAAGCGTCTGCCATCATTCTTGATCCAAAATAGAACTGTCGAGGAGTCTGTCCAAAAGTATGTTTTGTCAATTTTGATTCCAAGTGTTTCAATCAGGGTGTTTGCTAATCGGCTACCCATGACCGCAGCTTGTAGTTCCAGTCTCGGTATAGAAATTGGTTTAGTCGGCGCTACTCTTGCTTTAGCCATGACCAGCGCGATTTGAATATTTTCCTGTTTCAGCACTCTCAAGTACGCAACTGAGGCAAATGCTTTTTTACTTCCATCACAGAAAACGTGCAGTTGTATACTGTCGGCAGAAGGAATGATAAGTGAGTAACATCTTGGAATTATCAATTTATCGATTCGCTTCAAGTCAACAAGCCAATATTTCCACATAATGAAGGTTTCAGAGTCCAAACTGTCGTCCCACCCGATACCAGTCCTCCAGATGTCTTGGATTATCATCCTTCCCCTGACAGAGAAATTCACGATCAATCCCAACGGGTCAAAAATTGACATAACTGTCTTGAGTACATATCTTTTGGTGGGTCTTTCAGTTTCGTCAGTTAACTTCAACCTTTGGAAGATGAAATTGTCATTTTTGGCATCCCAAAAAAGTCCCAAAACCCTTTGTATATTGTCAACGTCCAAGTTGAGGTCTTTTGAGAATTCTTCGCTTGCAGAGAGGGAATCCAGAACGACTTTAGAATTAGAAGTCCACTTAGTGAGCTCGAAACCTCCCATTTTCTGAACACGGCTTACTTCATGTATTATCTCGAGTGCTTCCTCTTCTGTGTCTGTACAGTCGAGATAATCGTCGACATAATGTTTTCTCACGATTGCTTCAATGATTCTTTCTGACTTTGTACATTCTTGAGCGTTCAAATTTTTAATAAATTGAGCACATGTCGGTGAACAAGTTGCGCCAAAAATCATGACTTGCATTTCGTAGACATCAATTGGCTGATTTGAATCTCCATCTCTCCACAAGAACCGTTGTGAACTTTGATCTTCCTTCCTTATCCTTACTTGATGAAACATCTCCCTAACGTCGCTACTGAAAGCTATCTTCCTTTCTCGAAATTTGAGTAAAATTATCACCAAAGATTGTAATAGGTCTGGGCCAACTAGCAAATTATCATTCAAGCTGGTTCCGTTCGATTTCGAAGCGGCATCGAAAACAAATCTCAGCTTATCTGGCTTAGTTGGGCTGATTACACCAAAATGTGGCAAATACCAACACCTAGGAATATTTGTGTCAATTTCTTTTGGTTCCAGTTTTCGTGCGTATCCCTTCTCGACGTATTTCTTGATGTTTTCACAATACCTTTGTTTGAAATTAGAGTCTTTTTGAAATTAGAGTCTTTTTCCATCTGCTTCTCCACGCATAACAATCGACGAAAAGCGGTCGTTTTACTGATGGGTAACTGGATGTGATCATTTTTC